TTAAGTCAAATTGCCGATCGGAAATATAAATTGAAAATGTGTGCATTTCACCAAGCATTTATAACAAATTGTAAGTTCAACCACTGCAAAGAAAAATAACAAAGAATAAGGTCTGCACCCGATAATTAAATATGTATACAAGAAGATGCAATCTGAAGGGGTGAAGAAAAATGGATTCCTTACTTCCGGGTGGAGACCTTGAGTTGATATCAACGCTGCTCTTGTTCATCAGCAATCTTCCCCACCAGATTTGTTACACTATCGGAAGAATAAATGACTTCAACCATTTTAAGTGTTGTAATGTACTCCAGAGAAGAAGGCACCTCTTCCAACTTTTTTCACCCATCTAAGATCAACTCCTGAAGACAGTCCAACTGACCACAAGCCATCCAGTTTACAAAGCTCCTGGGGTAACACAGTTCAAAGATTCTAAGTTTTAGAGAATTCCCCTTCTGTCATTTTCCGTGCATTCTCTTTAAAGGAGATCCCAATTAATGTGGGTACTTGAAGGCTTGGCAATTCCCCAATGGTTGACATATTTCTCCGAGGCAAACCAAAATATTTTAGACTCAGCTTGTTGAGATGTGGAAAATCAACTCAAATGTGATGCGCAGTTATTGTTCACTTTCAGCCAACAATGAAGCGATTCAAGTAGACTCGAACAACTGAAACACAATCTGCTCAAGGTTTTCTGGATGACGCTTATGGTGAAAAGCATGCACTTCAACCTATGGGCATTTGGAAACTTTCTTACAAGCCTTTCCATGCTGGCTATTGATGTCTTGACACCACATAGCCTATCCAACTCATATAAAACAGATGAGCTATCAAGATTTTTTTCTGGCAAAATTCCATAAAAGTGCTTTATGCAAAGATATACTTTATTTTGTAAATCCCAAAGACATCCTGGCAATGAAAAGTAACTGTTACTTGAATCCATACTAAGAGTTTCCAACTTAGTGAGCTTAGCTATGGATGGTAGGATGCTGAGACTAAACTTAGATTCAATTGCAAGGAAAGACAACTGAACAGCAGTTCAAATTCATTTTGGACAGCAACCAGTTATAAGAAATTGCTCAAATCCAGCACTCTCAGAAGTTCGAAGCTGTGAATCCAAGAAGCGCTTTCTGCCTATTCTTAAGGGACGTAGGAAAACTTAGCACATTGACTCAATGATCTTCCTTCCGGATCTTTAGAGCAGTGGAAAAACAGAGAATGTACACGAGGACAAAACAACTTCAATCTTGAAATAGCTGTGAGTAAATGCATAGCCTTCGAAGGTTGTACAGCTCACTAAATGCTAAAAGATCACCATATCCGTTTAGCATATGGAGAAAATGTTCATCACTAGTTTTCTGTAAGGATAAATCATGAAGCAAATCATGAATAGGGCTTGGTACAAAGCAAATGACCAAAAAAACCCAACTGAATAACAGCAACAAACCATAATAAGTTCACCTCCAATTATTATGCGAATTTTCTAGTCTCTTATGTTTCACAAAATAAATAATCCAACAGATGATACTAACCTTGATGAGATTTTTCTTAAGTAGTGAACAAGATTTTTCTCCTTAGTTGCTATAGGAACAATCAAAACACCCAAATGAGTTAATATTTTTTTGGCAGAATTGCTGCAATAAACAGAAAAAGGGAAGAAAGTAAAGCAAAAGCCAATCAGCTATTCCTACGAAGGTTCTTTCAGTGTGAAATTCAGTCGCTTTTGTTGACATTTTGTTGGTTTGTTCCACAAAAAGTAAGAGTTAAAAAGCGAGCCAGGTAAAACTTTTAATCTGAGAATTTCAATCTGTTGCAACCCAGAACTGAAAATTATTCTCAGAGTTTTATGGTCGAGGCACTAGCCGGCAAATTGCTTGAGCGTGACTTTGCTACGGGGGAGCTTCTCACTCTAAAAGAAGTTGACAAAGTTGGCTAAGTTTTTTACTTTTGAGGTTCTTAAATTTGTTTCTGTTTGATATTTTAAAATAAATTCACCTTCTAGCGGTTTAGGGATAAGTGGAACAGCTTGAGGCTCTAGGTGTCGCAGGAATTGACACATTACAAATTTCAAATCACACCCAGTAAGAACATTCATAATAGCATTGTCATTACTAAATTTACATTATCACGGAAACGCCAGATACAGCTTTAACTCACAGCCCATAAATGTCAAGGAAATCTCAATCAACAATTTTTATAATTTTCTTCCAGACAATATCGGACTAAACTATATTGTGCACCAAGCGCAATTTTAAGTAGCTTCAAATGTGATAATTGATTAAAATAAAACCTGGAATATGAGCAAGTCATGTCCATTAAAAAGAAGGTGATTACTTGACACTAAAATGAAACAGAAGAGACGTTTTGATGTAAGTCATGCCATATAATAGCAGTAAATCCAGATGAAGAAACACAATTGACAAAGATATAGAGCCTCAGAATTCGCATTTTGCACTTAAATAATGTCAGAATGGATATCTTCACGCTGTTGGATCAGACACGCGAAATGTCCCCAACAGCATCAATCCTAGCATGTTTTACATTTCTCAAGTATTTTACCACACCACAGAATTTAAGATGCAGAAAACTAGAGGCTTCAATTTATAATAACTTATCAAGGGTTAATCTGTAGTATGCAATCAACAAAATAAAATCTTGCGCGACATATCTGAGCATTGGAGATGCTTCTATTTATGCCTGGCAAATTTAAACACTATAAAACTCTTAATTTGCAACCAGAAGACAACAGCTAAATTTAAGAGCCAAAAGTGAAAATATTGAATTAGAGAAAAGAACCATTACCTCTGGATACATGCTTAAAGAGCCATTCAACTCTGAAGATCCTTGGCTACTAATTCTTGTGTAAGCACCACTGTGTGATGTGTAAACAAAAAATTAAAGTCAGCTCAACAACTTATACATGGATCAGTAACTCATGAAAATTAAAACCAAAGAAAAAAAGAAAAGAAGAAGAAATTAAAGGATGAAAGCCACAAAATTTCAAGGATAAACTAAATGAAATAACCATAGATCATTGACATAAACAGGGAGGACGTTAATATACTTTCAAAGGAAAAAATTTCCATTATTGTTTGTATAGGAACCTGTAAAAAACTTGCAAGAGTGAACCATGAGCCCTGGGTAAACAGCATGCTGTAAACCAAGGAAATCACCTCATTTTGCTGCAAATTAATTTTGGTGGAAAACATTGTCTTCCTCCTAATTCCAGACTAACAATATATCTCACATAAAAACACATGGATTCGTTCTTACAGTTGTTCTCGTATCAAAGTAATTTGTGCATAAACTTCATCAGTCTATTGTTCTTCCTAAAAAAACGCCATATTTATTCCAGCCTTTTTTTTTTTATTTTTTGAAACAGGTTCATTCCAGCCTCCGTGAAACATAACAAGAGAACTATCTTACAATTACCAAAATTTGCGATACACGAACTTTTCAGGCATATTTAAGCCCCTAAAAAGAATGAGTTATATCTTTTCAGGCATGTTTAAGCAACTAAACAGAATGAACCACAAAAAGAATGTCTTAAAGAACAGCCAAATAGAATAAGAGAAGCAAAGAGGAAAATTATAACTTGTTACAAGTCCAAAAACTTCATACCAAGAGTTATTAGAAGTAAGAGTGTCTAATCTGATAATACCAAGAGTTGGATACTGTTAACTTAGAAAGATGTTAAATTATGTTTATAAATCTTAGTTGAGGGTAATGTGTAGATGCTTATTTTGGCTGTTGAATTATTTCTGCTTAACATATAGTCATCATTCATACAAGTTACAAACCACATTCTCCTTGCTTAAATCTTCTTCCGGATTAAAATTTTCCTCTGCTCCGAACCAGACCAACTCACATCCCATTTTTAATCAGCTACTGTTTAGTCTTTCTTCTGTAATTAAACCTTATGACTTACGTTACGGGATCATGATTTGTGAGGGAATGAAGTTAGTTTAGTAAGGTCATGTGAGGTTTATTCTGCAGAGCATTTGATGTCCCTGTACTACCCTTTGTGTCCTGAAATCCCCTTGTCAATTAGTGCAAGCTCTTAATTGATTGTTCAGGTACTTACTTTGGAACTGGATATTGCTTAGATGATTGTAATTAGTCATTTCTCTTGAAGATTCCCCCTTTGCTAATTCAAAAAGTAATTAAAGAGTATCTTAGTTCTGTTTTGTCGTGAAAATTAATACAAAATCTTGGCAGTAAAAAGCAATTAGAAAGAAACTACAATGACCATTAATATTTTGGCTCAATTTTCACAATTCTTAGTAAATTGGAACCTGATGTTTTGTAACGATGTTGATTCTTTGTGCTCTACGAACATTGATAATCGCTGACATCTTTCTTTCTTTATTCAGGTGTTTCAAATTAACACAATGCATGGGACTAGCTAAGGAAGATGAAGATCCAGTCACAATTCTTATCGGCGATGGCAGTGGCATTGAGACGTGAAACTAGGCGCAAAACCACTCATCTCGTCTCTCTCGACCATACCTTGCAATCCTTTGTTGCCCCTTCAAAGTAAAAGATTATATTCTTCAATTTTGGATGATCTCTTTCTTTTTTATTTTTAGGGTTTCTTGTTTATTTATATGTTGTTATTGTTGCAGGGAGGAGGATGGTCTCAGATTGACTCGTATTTCTACCATGCCTACAGCTTGTTCATGGCGGCCATTTAGTCCTTCTTATGCTATGCTTATGCCAAGTAAATTGTTCCTGAATCTTTTGGTTCTGAGTTTAGAGAGGATGACATTTAAGAATGCTTGGTATGTCCTTACTTTATTTTGGCGATATACGAGTGTTCAGAATGTAGACATATAAAACAAAAGCAGAGAATTCTATTATGTAGATATGTTCCTTGAATGATACTATAGAATTTATATGTTCCTTGTATGATGTTTAAGATATTGTTTGTTGATTAGTTAGAATTTAAATTTGTGGCTGAAATGAAAATTAAACCTGAGGTTTTTGCTTATATAACAGGTGATTTAATCCCAAAAAGATTTTACCACCCACAAATAAACAGGCATGGAATACACCACTTGCGTTTTCAAGTTTCTGTTAGCAGTTGTATAGTCAAAAATAAAATCAGAAATTTTATCTCTTCTGAAACCACTTCTCATTAATTTGAAAAGAAACATCTCTGCAACAGAATCCAGCATTGGTTTTCCCAGATCTTTAAAAACCAAGGTTAAGTCAGCACTCCAAGAAATTTTACTGACATCAAAATCTTCCACTAGCTCCAAAAGCTCTTCCTTCTGACCACACTCACTCAATGAATCCAAACAACTCTGTTTAAAGGAAAGCTGATCTGCATTGTCACATGAATCAAGACTGTGGTAAAAAGCCTTTATCTTTTCATTATCTTTCAGCCTAATCAAAAGAAGTATCTCATAATAAGCCATGATTGGCCTCATACTTTTCTCTTTCATAAGATCACTAAAAGCATAGAACTCCTTTTCCAGCCCAAAATCAATCAAATATTTTAAGAACAGACCATCTACGTCCTCCTCAATCCTAACACCCATATCCTTCATGAATACAAAGATCTTGTTGGCCAGAACTACCTAATTTCGAGATATTTCTTCATCTTTGCTTCTCCCAGCTGTTTCCAAGCAAATCCGTACCAAATGACTAAATTCATCAACTCCAAAAATGGCCCACACTTTAACTGTTTTACCCAATCCGGTGAGAACCTCAATACTGGGATTAACACCAAACCTTTGCCCAAGCCTGTTTACTTGTGGATGGTAAAATCTTTTTGGATTAGATCGCATGTTATACAAGCAAAAACCTCAGGTTTAATCTTCATTTCAGCCACACATTTAAATTCTAACTAATCAACAAATAATATCTTAAACATCATACAAGGAACATATAAATTCTATAGTATCACTCAAGGAACATATCTACATAATAGAATTCTCTGCTTTTGTTTCATGTGTCTACATTCTGAATACTCCTATATCGCCAAAATAAAGTAAGGGCATACCAAACATTCTTAAATATCATCCTCTCTAAACTCAGAACCAAAAGATTCAAGAACAACTTACTTGGCATAGGCATAGCATAAGAAGGACTAAATGGCCGCCATGAACCAGCTGTAAACATGGTAGAAATACGAGTCAATCTGAGACCATCCTCCTCCCTGCAACAATAACAACATATAAATAAACAAGAAACCCTAAAACTAAAAAAGAAAGATATCATTCAAAATTGAAGAATATAATCTTTTACTTTGAAGGGGCAACAAAAAATCGCAATGTATGGTCAAGAGAGACGAGATGATTGGCTTTGCGCCTGGATTCACGTCTCAATGATTCACGTCTCAATGCCACTGCCATTGCTGATAAGAATTTGTAACTGGATCTTCATCTTCCTTAGCTAGTCCCATGCATTGTGTTAATTTGAAACACCTGAATAAAGAAAGAAAGATGTCAGCGATTATCAATGTTCGTAGAGCACAAAGAATCAACATCGTTACAAAACATCAGGTTCCAATTTACTAAGAATTGTGAAAATTGAGCCAAAATATTAATGGTCATTGTAGTTTCTTTCTAATTGCTTTTTACTGCCAAGATTTTGTATTAATTTTCACGACAAAACAGAACTAAGATACTCTTTAATTACTTTTTGAATTAGCAAAGCGGGAATCTTCAAGAGAAATGACTAATTACAATCATCTAAGCAATATCCAGTTCCAAAGTAAGTATCTGAACAATCAATTAAGAGCTTGCACTAATTGACAAGGGGATTTCAGGACACACAAAGGGTAGTACAGGGACATCAAATGCTCTGCAGAATAAACCTCACATGACCTTACTAAACTAACTTCATTCCCTCACAAATCATGATCACGTAACGTAAGTCATAAGGTTTAATTACAGAAGAAAGACTAAACAGTAGCTGATTAAAAATGGATGTGAGTTGGTCTGGTTCGGAGCAGAGGAAAATTTTAATCCGGAAGAAGATTTAAGCAAGGAGAATGTGGTTTTGTAACTTGTATGAATGATGACTATATGTTAAGCAGAAATAATTCAACAGCCAAAATAAGTATCTACACATTACCCTCAACTAAGATTTATAAACATAATTTAACATCTTTCTAAGTTAACAGTATCCAACTCTTGGTATTATCAGATTAGACACTCTTACTTCTAATAATTTAACACAAAACCAATACCTACCCACCCCCAACAATAACCGTCAGGGGAAAAAAAACAAACAAAAGCCTTCTACAAATTCTAAGAAAATATCCATGCGGCCATAGAGTGAACCAAAAGAATCAGAGGAAGAACATTTCCTAATTACACAACGCATTCAAAAATCATACATCTTAATAACGAGAAAAGTCTCTCAGAAATTCAAACAATTGATCCTACTGTCCCAGGACACACACAAAAAAAAAAGAAAAAAAAAATGCCACCAAACCATGACCTAAATCTGAAACTACACATCGAACCCAAAGAGGACATCAATTTAATAAGAGGGAAGACAAGTAGAAGAGACAACATCTAACCTTGGAGGGAAGAATCCTTTTTCCCAAAACTAAGTCCTAACTCTTGCTGTGCTACTGTTAGAACACAAAAGATTTCAGATTGGTAGATAAAAGGGGAGGAAATTGCGAAATTGGGGGGAGTTTTTTTACAATAGAAGAGGAGCAAAATAAGAAATTCGACTACGGTGGAAAGCTCCCGGCAACCGCATGTTTGAAACTGTGATGATGTTGAGCTCTCTATGGAAGAAGGGAGGAGAAAAGAAAAACGCAACCAAAACCCGACGACTTGCCCCGGGTTCACCGCCAACGGAAACCGGCAGAACTCCACTGTAGATGTTTCTTTCCGTTTTTCATATTATTACCCCTTACTTTTTTGCATTTGGTAATTTGGAAAGCGTTTTGTTGCTGTCCTACTGGATAGAGAAAGCGTAGTTGCTTCACAAATTTAAAATATTAAAGGCCTTTTTTTTTCGTTTTTCATTGGGGGTTGAGTCGTGCTTTTCACTCATTTAAATTTTAACTCGTTTTACCTCTTAAATACAAAATCCAATGAAAAGAAAATATCATCCAAACAACTTTCTAATTTACATGTTAGATTCCAATTTGAAACACTTTTTATTAGTATCGTGACCATTTTTTGGAACTAAAAATAGTTCAGTGACTAAATCCAAAACTTTGCACATTTATTTCAATTTGCTTCTAGTTAAAAAACACTTTCTACAATTAATGGTGGTTAGAAAAAAGTTTTTTTAGAATATGTATTGAAATATCAAGTCAAAAAATTTCACTAAACAATCGAAAAATGTCCATTTTGGTTACTGTAAAAAAAGAATTTCAAAAATTATTACTAAAAAACGGAAATGTGTCGATTTTGGTCACTGTAAAATATTAATTTTAGAGGTTATTCCGTAATTTTAGTGATCATTTTACAATTGTTTAGTGATCATTTTTTAAATTCTTTTTTTACAGCGACTAAAATGGGATTTCTGTTGTTGAGTGATTGTTTTGAAAAAATTCAACTTTGTAGTGACTAAAATGGGATTTTCATTATTGAGTGATTGTTTTTTGAAAAGTTCTTTTCTGCGGTGACTATAATTGACAGTATTTAATTGTTTAGTGATGACTCTTACTTGATATTTCAAAATGTAGTTCAAAATATTTTTTCAAAACCAACATCCAAACAACTTTTTGCTCAAAATACCATCCAAACAACATTTTCATTTCTCATTTAGTTTTCAACTTGAAACACTTTCCGCTTTTAAGTGGCAAAATAAAATGTAAGATGACGTCTAAACAAGTGCGCCTATAGGTTTTATAAAGAGTGTTTATTTTCAAAGCCACGACCTTTACTACTTGAAGCCACATATTTTAAAATTGGACCATTTTACCCTTATTATTTTTTCAAATCAAATAATTTGATTAGAGAGAAAAAAAAATTGAAAATTTAAAATAAAAAAATTTACCGACCGGGCGGTCCACCCGTACCCGGGACGGGTTCATTGCTCGCCCGGTCCCGGTTCGGTCCGATATGTTGAACCGGACCGGTCATGCCCTTTTTTTAATTTTTTAATTTTTTGTTTTTTTTTGTAATTAAAAAATAGCAATATTTGTTATTTAAAAAAGTCTAAAACTTAAAAAAAATCAATCGGATTCATTGCTATTTTTTTCATTTTTAAAGTTTTTGTTGTAATTAGTTAATCTAGTTTTTAGATCATTAAATTTATTAATAATTTATTATTTGAGTTACATTAAGTATCCCCAATCTTTGTAGTACAAAAAATAGTTAATCTATTTGCACATATTTGTCACAATCTTTGTAGTACAATTATTATTTTTCATTATAAATGTAATTATTATTTCAACTAAAAATTATCTTTAAAATAATGATTAAAGTAAAATTTATATTTTAATATCAATTCAAATAAATTAACTTAACAAATAATCTTAAATTTGTTTTCAAGTATAAATTAATTACTTGTTTATTTTCAAGTAAATATAAAATCGAGAGTTTAAGCACTAAAGCATAAATATTGTTAATAATATTTAAAGTACGAGGTATTCAACATGTAACGATATTGCGAATAAACTAATATTAAAATAAAAATTAATAATTTATCCGTTCTCACGTGAATCGGATCAAATGACTTGTCTGGTTCGGTCTGAGTGGCAGGGGCAAAAGGGAAATTCTTCAAAATCGGTGGCTTCAAGTATTAATTTGGGTGGCTGGAAAAATTCACCCGCTTTATTAATACAATATATGGTAACTAATGAAAGATTGGTTATCTTTTGACAGTTAAACAGTCCATTTAATAAATATTGTTGAAAAACTAAGTCTCACATTAACCAAAAAATTATATATACATATCCTTTTTACCCTATTAAATCAGAATACATGATGTTGATGTGGCAACTTCTTATTAAAATTTTTTGCTCCAAATGCACCATATTACATAAACCATTTTGCCATGTGTGATTCTCATTCTAAAACAAAAAATAAAAAATAAACTTATTTCTGGATAAAAAAACTTCTAAAACATACTTTCGAATCACATTAAATTCCTACAAATTAGTGAAAATTAAAATCCAAATCCCTTAGTCAAATTCCTTCCAAACTGTTGAGCACTCCCATTTCCACAGAAGGCATCCACAAAATCAACATATTCAACCATTGCTGCAATTCCCCTTCAAATCTCATAAATAACTCTGACCAAAATTTTGCTTCAAATTCATATCAAAAGATTTCAAATTAAAAATTTTGCTCCCATGTCTCCAGGCGAACAAAAAAAAAAAAACAAAACAACAGGTTTAATGAAATTTATTATTGTTATGATCTTTATTTTTTATTTCTCACAATTTGATTCTTATATTACTTTAATTAGTTTAGAAGATTTTTTTTTATATAATCAATTAAAAGATCCTAAAATTTAGATGATAATTTTAAATAAATATCTTTTCAACCTCATCTAACATTAAATCCACTTATAAATATAATTATTATTTCAATCATTACACATTATAATAAAAAAATATATATAACCACATACGTATTTCACTTAGATTAGAATTTTTCTTTTCATTTGTAAAAAAATTACTTATAATGGAAGGGGCGGCCCGGACATCTGTCTGGGCCAAACATCTAGTGTATATATATATATATATATATATATATATATATATGCACACACACATATGTCTCACATATTTTTCTTATCTCACGAAATTTTAATTTATTATAATCAAAACTAACTATGGATATGGGCAAATGGCGATATATGTTAAAGACTTCCCTTGTATAGAAATAGAAAGAGGGGGTCTCTTTGATATTTAAAAAGTAATAATAGAAAAAATAAATAAAAATCTCAAAAATCCAATCTACGAAACAATTTGATTTATGGAACAAACTTCTCCGCAAGAGGATAGATGGGGCGATTCGAACAATTTTTATTTAAATTCAAAATATGAAAAGATTAATATCACCATTACTATATCTATTCCTACTTTATTCTTTTTCCAAAAGAAAATTCCTACTTTATTCTTATCAGATGAATTATTGTAGATGTAGGTGGTGTTTTGATTTTGGTTGTACTAGTTTCAATTTTGAAGCCTAAACGAAAAGGATACTTTTATAAGTGATAACAATTTTATTACTTAAAAAATGAAATAGGTGTATTTGAAGTGAGCATATATGCCGAATAATACAAACCATGAATGGATGAATACTGAAACCAAATGGTAGTAAGTAGCTGTCAGACAAATGGCTCATTGAAAGATGAAAGCTCCTGATATCCCATTTAGCAGCGGGAAAAAATGTTCCTCTTGGGCTTTTCTCAAACAGAAGCCATGTATCAAATCATGAGTGCAACAAGCTTTGACACCTCCCCTGGAACTTCTCTTGGTGTCCATCAAACTCTTCAAAAAACCTGTCGCAACTTCTTCAAAGCTCATTGAACTAGTCTTGCGCACGAAGCCTTCAGCAATCCAATACCAAATCAGCCTCTTCAAGGAAACCTCTTGGTCTCTGGGAAATCCTCCAAATGACAGAAGGCATGACATCAAATAACACGGTAGATTCTGTAGCTTAGTTCTATCATGTTCTTGGTACTCCACCTGCTACTGAACTGTGCATGAAAACTTGAGTTATTCTCATTTCACGTCTATTTAAAGACATGCTTTCTTTACTTTGGAATGTTTAAAGAGGTTAAGCCAATACTTGTTGAATTGTTATGGCTATGGATTGCTTAAGGATTTGTGGGGAAAACTAAAAGTGAGTGTTTAGAGGACATTGCATAGGGATATCTGATGGAGTTGATTCAAAGAAATCTAGTTATGGTCGCTAAGAAAGGATGCAGAGGCTAGGTAGAAATTAGAATAGTGCATCCATCAAGACTTCTTGTTCACCTTTTGCACGGAAAAATGCAAGGAAGAACACTTCATGCAATTACTTGAAGGGGTATGAGCTCGGTACTTCCAAAGAGCCTAGTGTACTATATCGATTGCATGTTCTATCTGGGAGAGACAAGGATTTCGCACAGTCCACATTGCTTTGTCCTCGCTTAGGCTCTCTGTTATTCCATGACTCTAATCATAAAAGATGGCATGGAGAGTGTGTCTATGATGTTATGTATAAATTTTGGCCTTGTAACCTTTTACGAGTCTTGGATTTAAGGGGATTTTAGTGTGGGCTGCATAACCGCAATTGTACATTTGAGGTACTTGGCCTTGGAAATTCAACATAAAGAAATTATCATTAATTTGAAGAGTTTTGTTCTTAGAGGACCGTCATGCTTTGTTTCACTACCAGATACAGTATGGAATATAAAAAAAATAATAATAATAAAAAAATTATGCACATGTGTATCACTGATGGGCTTGCTCATTTTCATTTTGCAGAAGAGAGTTCTGATCATGAATCCAGTCTAAAAGATTTCAAAACTCCTGTAAAGCTTTCCTGTGGGCAAATAGTGGAGGTAATGAGATAGCCTCCAAATACTGGAAGACTTACATGCAAGCCCATTAGGGAGATGGGTGCAACATGGACTGCTGCATGCCTGCATGGTGCTAGCCCTAGAGTTTCTTAGTGGACTAGAAACTCACCATTTTTTTCAGGTTTTGTGAAATTGAGATTTCCATTTCCCCTAAATCTAAAAAAAAGCTAGTCCTTTCAGACTTTAGGCTTTCATGGAATAAAATTGTATCAATTGATAGATTACGAAATCTGGAGATCCTTAACATACAATGCGTTTACAGGACACATATGGGATATGGAAGAAAGGAAGTTTCCTAAACTCAGAGTTTAAAGGTTGGAAGTATCAGATTTGGTAAGATGGAAGTTTCCAGGGATGATAATTCCCCCTACCTTGAGAAATTAGAATTGCGAGAACGCTCGCTCCTTGAGGAACTCTTCAAATGATTGAGGTGTCACTTTGTGAATCAGCGACGAGTTCAACAAAGCAAATTCAGGCAGAACAAGTGAGCATGGGAATGTGGATATGAAGATTCTTATTCACCCTCCGAAACATAAGCATTATCACAGGGATGGATTGAAAAGGTAAACCCAATTATATCCCCGTAGTGTTGTAATGCGAATTACACGCGTGTGCAGTCGTTCCATTACTCTTGCACCTACAACATTTCAACTTCTGTTGGTAGCATGTTTGATGAACTATAACTTTTCAAATCTATATTATTGCATATAAGGTTTATCAGGGCTGCTCTGATGCCTGTGTAACAGCACAATTGTAATTTTGTATTCTATGGCGTGGAAGTGAGAATGCTTGGTAAATGTTATTTTGAGTTTCACGACACTAATGCACATTAGGATTTCGGAAGAGCAAATATTGCCAGCTCCTAAGTATGGATTACATAAATGCTATCTGCCTTCCAATTGATCTTGAGAGGTTACTGTTTACTGTCTGAAGTCAAAGTCCCTTCCTCTGACCACTATAATTTAGATGAGGGAACAAAAGAATAAAGCTGGCTCAGTGTTTGTCTTCCGTAACTATCTAGTCTTGTTGAGAGATTTACCATACATCACCACAATAATCTACTCTAATACACAAGTTCTAATTGTTCAATTGTTTGAAAACAAAACTGAGAAGAATCATTACACACAAGGGATGGCATATGATCTTCCATTTACAATACATTGATTGGTCTACAATTGGGCTTGATCCTTGTTTACCTCTTAGTTACTTTAAGCTAAGTCGAGAATTAATATTCATGGATAGGTCTAGCATGCATCTTCCATGCTCTAGTTATGGAGGACTCAGTTAATGGTGCATATTAAAAGAATGGAAATCAAATGACTTGTTCGGAGGTGAAGGTTACCAATAATGAGAAGTTTAGTTATTGGCTAATGATATATGAATTAGCGTGGTAACTATGATATAATGACATGTTTATTCTGAATATGCACCTATCAGATTTCGAGATTTGTTGATAAGCTGAAATCTTTCAGTACCATATGTTACTGCTGGTTGAGTACTAGTACTATATAATGATTGCTTTTCCTTCTTCACATCTAGATCCTAAAAACCCTGTGTCATAATTTAATTCAAGAATCACAAAAAAAAAGAAAAAAAGAAAGAAACTCAATCACCTGAACCGCTTGCTTCTGTGATTTCCTTGGGTTAAAGAGCTGGCAACTCTCCTATTTCACAAATCTTAAGACCCTTTTCTTTGGTCTAGAATTGCTGGGAAGATGAAGACCTGGCACTGTGATCTATATAATTGGAAAGGAAGAAGACCGCTCGAAGCTTTTCATTAGGTGTAGTTCGTCCTTCTGAAGAGCGAAAGTGTGCCTGGGTTTAAATTTGAGACACTATTAGAATACTTGCCATAATCTGGGGAGAAAATTTTCATAAAATAGATAAAATGGTTAAAAGGAAGGAGTGTTGTTATTGTCAGTCAAGCTTTTACCTTTAAGCCCTCACAAATTGCAAATCTATGGTCACATTCTTAGTTCTCCATATATCTAAATCATGCTCCAACCTGGAGTTTTTCTGATATTCTGCTCCACCATTGATTGCCGTAAAGAGACGACATGCTTTTGCTCTCCGACATGAGCATAGATATTTGAAATTAAAACACAGTCACCGGGATTAGCAGGATCCAGTGCAGCAAGCCTCTCATTCGCACGTTCAGCAATTTCGACATTTCCAAAAAGGCTGCAAGCCCCTAGAATTATCCGCCAAATTACAGCTGTTGCAGGAATTGGCATTTGAACTAAAAAATCATAAGCTTTCCGCAACTGACCAGATCTTCCATATAAATCTACCATACAGCCATAATGTTCAATAGTTGGATCAACTCCAAAATAGTTTGACATCATAGAGAAGATTTTCTCCCCTTGTTCAATAAGGCCAGCGTGACTACATGCATCAAGGATAGAAACAAAAGCGATCTCGTCAGGTCTAACACCAGATCCCTTCATCGCATTAAACATTCTAATGGCTTCCTCGCCATAACCTTGAATTGCAAGCCCTGTGATGATTGAAGTCCAAGAAACAATATTTTTCTTCATTGGCATTCTCTCAAAGACCAAATACGCCATTTCCAGATTTCCGCACTTAGAATAAGCGTCCAGGAGTGCATTGTTCACAGAAGGAATCCAAGCCAACCCCAGCTTCTCTATCAATGAGTGCAAAACTTTCCCAAACTCAAAGTCACCAGTGTGTGCACAGGTAGATAGAACCTGAGATAAGCTAACTTGATTAGGTGTCAGCCCCAACCTCAGTAACTCCCTGAAACACCTAAATGACTCCACGTAATTACCAGCATGAGATAACCCAAAAATCATAGTACTCCAAGAAACATCGTCTTTGACTAGCATACCCGAGAACAACTTCTTGGCAAGATCAAGTTTACCCGACTTCGTATACCCTGCAAGCATCAAATTCATCGTTGTCAAGTCCCGAAAAGGCATCAAATAAAACAGTCTTTCGGCACCCATTACATCATTACACCTAATATAAGCCGTCAGCAGAGCATTCCAAGCCACTACATTTGGTTCAGGCATTTCATCAAACACAGCCTTGGACATAAAAACCAATCCACATTCCACATACACTCACCAAAGTAGTCCCAACAAAAATATGGGAACTAAAGCCGCGTAAGAAAGCTTGACAATGAAGCTGGGATCCACTCTTCAAACACTTCAAATTCGCAGCTCCTTTTAGAGTAAAAGCGAAAGAGAAACTATCAGGGAGAAAGTTCGAGTTCCGAAGCATGTGAATGAACATATGGAGTGACGTTTCCGGCGTATCTGATTCGGCCAGTCCACGAATAAGGGTATTCCACATAAATACATCTGGGTTCGGAGTTTTGTTAAAAATGCAGAAACCGTAGTTCAGGGCGGCGCCGGAGAGGTTTATAGAGCAGTGGAGGATGAGTTTTCCGGCGACAAAACGGTCAGCGTGGAGGCCATTTGTAAAGACTTGGGCGTGAATTTGCTTGAAGGAATCAAGGGTTTTGCATTTGGTTAGTAATGAGAGGCAGAATTGACCATAATTGCTCATTTTTGGCTCTCAATTCGTTTGCCTTTTTGCTTGTTTCGTCGCTTGACATTTGGAAACGGAATAAGTCAAACCCCAAAATATTTGCCGGAAATAGAATTTCTGTTTTTACATGTACTGTTCATACAACGAATTTTCAAAATCCAGTCTTTTAAGAATTAGTTATAATTAGTATTTTATAATTTATTTGATTAAGAGAAACAGAAACTTTTATTCTGTTTTTTATTTACCAATTTTTATCAAACGAATTTATCCCAAAATAATGTGAAATAAATTTTTATCAGAAGTAAAAAACGAAAATTGAAAATCCTTTTTTAAGAAAGTATTTTGAAAAAGAAAAAAACGGAATTTAGAAATCCGTTTTTAAAGATGTATACAGAAAAAAAAACAGAACAGGTCTGCAATTGCAAACCTGTTCAAACCTGTTCAAAAACAGTTTCTAGACAGCACCAAAACAACACCAACAGCAGCCTCAACTCAACATAACCCTTGAATTCACACATCAATTCAATAAAATAATGCAATTGTAACATGTTTAAATAAAAAACTACATCACAAAACGTTCATCAAAAGTAGATTATCAACAAATTGAAGCCATTATTCCTCCTCCTCTAGCAGTAGCTTGGGTTGGGCCGTGGATGGCGTGTAGCGATTGACTTTCTTTATTTTTCTACGCGGCCTTGCTAACGCCAAAGGTAGACTAGATTCTTTCAAGGGCGGTGTAACATCCACATCTATACTTGTAAATTCACCTTCTTGGTTGGCTTCGTCCTGATTCTGGGGTTTTGGAATTTGAAACAAGTCGGCATTGAGTGCAAAATCAAATTCTGGCTCTCCTTCTTCCTCGATTTTCTGCCTGGCTCCTCCAATCCCACGATCATCTTGTGGTTCTTCTTCTTCCACGATTTTCTGCCTGCCTCCTCCGATCCCACGGTGAGGAATGTTTCGCTTGCGAACTTTGCCAACCGGTTGAGAATGTTGTGGTTGAATATCAACAAGCGATTGGGTGGGTTTCTAAATTGGCATCTCATGTGCTCCAAGGGATAAAACACTCATAGCATGAGAAGTGAGTTCAACAAGGATATCCACACATACTGAATTTTGGCAGACATCTTTGATTTCTTGTAGTCTTCTACCTTTTTGCAGATGTCTCTCAAAGCATCAGCCTAGAATCAATTTAACCATTAAAAATGTAATTAAAAAAAATAACAAACTTGAAAATTCTTAAAAAAAAAAGAAGAAACCAACTTTAAAAAATAAAAAAGAAGATTAGAGATTAAAAAAAAATACTTACATAGAATTTTGCGCGATCCGAACGCTCACGATACCCTTCCTCCTGAAAGTTATACTTATTGGGATCCTTGATAAATTTGATGGTATGGTTTTATAGTAATCGGAGACCCAACCACAATGGAGTCCCCCTGTTATTCCATTTTTCGATGTATTCACGATGATGAAACTCCCAATTGTTCCCAGCTCTTCCAGTCTTACCATACTTGTGCAATTTCTCCCATTCTTTGAAACCAGCGATCATTGGTTGTGGTGGGATCAACTGTTTCAAGCCAAATTATCGCATCACACGGTCAACTTGATGCGGTTCAACGGTCTCCCAGCAAATTAACCAAGTGTTTGATTGCCAATGATCTCGACCCCGTATACATCTTTCAGGTAACTCCACTCCTTTATAAGGTTGCCAAATAAACTGAAATACAAAAAAGTCCATGCTATATAAAGGACAGAAATAAGCTAACCCATAGAATCAGCTAAATCTCCTCATCACACAAAAACAATCAAAAAAAATTCAAAGGAATAGGTAAAGGAAAACAGATAATACATCTGATGCAAACATAGTTATAAAATTGGCATAACCATTGCCTCCAAGTCTGCATTTTCTCAACATTGCTCAAAATCGGTAACGCATAACAAAAATAATGAACCACAATTATAAATGGAAGGATACTACAGTTCATGTCTCTTCCAATCATTCAGTACTTAGAAAAAGTTATAATAAGCAATCTACTCTATTTCGCCTAACATTCCGTTTAATATTAAGAACAGAATCCAAATAATTTTTAATACAACATTTCTTCCATAATCCCAGTGAGGCTCACAACAGTCAAATACACTCACTTCAAATATTACTAGTCTTTAGGAAACAATAGTCCATGCTCAGGTTAACCCTATTTAGACCAAGATAAAGACAAAAGTAGTAGATATAGAAAACCTTTTGAAAAAGATATAATAGCTTATTAAAACATAGACAAAGCTATAGTTAACCAGACACACACACCAAAAAAGGAAAAAAAAAAAACAGAGACAATGCTCTAATAAAAAAAAGGTCCAACTGATATAATAAAAGAAAAAAGGACAGAAATAATAGCCAAAAAATTCCATCTTATATAATAAAAGAAAAATTCCAGATTCATTCAAAAATAATTTAATCAAATATAAAATTAGAAATCCTTACATCTTCAGCCTTCCTAAGGCTCGCGAGTTGATCTCGTTGTGCTTGGAGACAGTGGGAGGCCACTTGTGAAAAATCCAATGAACACCTCCACTTTGAACCTAAGGCCAAGGTGTCATCTTCGTCTTTCAGGTTTTTCCTCCTGGGGCGTATCCTTGGGATTTGCTCATAAGCCCCAATCTGTAAATGTAACACAAGTTAGGTTAAAAGAACACAAATTATTATACATAAAAGGAAAAAATAAAAATAAATACAATTCAAAATCGAGTTCTACCTGCAAAAGAATTAGGCATCCACCTATATCCCATTTTGTCCTTTTTGATGTTTTACAAAAATTATTATACAACACCGCAAGACATGCACTCCCCCAACTTATTTTTTTTACAAGACTTAAAATCCTTCAGTAAAGGCAAATAAAGTAAAGGCACAGTGTTGCTGGTTGTGTCTGGAAATAGTGAACCTCCAATTGCCCACAAAACAAAAACCCGAGCCCTTTTCTGGCAGGCATCATCTGAGGCATTTGCTGGAAATTTTCGGTTACACTCATCTGCCACCGAAGTGATTATAAGTTGGTTGGACCCGTTTTTCAATTTAGGTGTAAAGCCCAAAAGCTCCTGGCACATTGGGACCCAACTAGCTGGTGGCGAATCTTGGCCAGTTACATGGTTTCCATCAATTCTCAGTCGCAAAAGAACTTCGACATCTTAGAGTGTAATTGTTGCTTTCCCATTGAGAAGTGAAATGTATGAGTTTTGTGCCGCCATCTTTCAACCAAGGCTATCACAAGGGAGTTGTCTAATCGAATGAGACCCGTCTCAAGGAAGTATCCAAAATCCATTTTAGCCACGTAAGCTTTAACTGTGTCATTGGTCATTGTGTACAGCTCCCAAAGTAGATTATCAAATCGTCGACACTTATGATGTTCATTCATGAATCTCGGCTCACTGTTCCAAACGGCATCAGATCGATGATCACCCTGAAGATAAAGAAGTTTGGAGTCGATCAAACCCTTATTTGTGAAATTTGGGGTTTGCGACAAAGAAGAACTAGCCATATTTCAGTACTGAACAGAACAGTTTCAAAAAAACAGAAATGTATTAAAATTAGGCTGAAGTAGACTGAACAGAACATTAAATAAAAAATCAGTGGAACTAGCCAAAAAATCATTTCAACTCCTCATTCTCCAAATAACAGGCACAAAATGGACAGGCATTTAAAAGCAGGAAATCGAAGCAAGGAATTCGAGGCATTTACTAAAAAAACATCACATCATCAACACCTAAACCTAACAAAACCTAAACAAAAAGTTTCATCAGAGGCATTGTAAAAGACCTAATTCCATCTGTAACAACATCACATCATCCAATTCACATCCAAACAGAACATATCAATAAAAAAACATAAACTCAGAATATTATCCAATTCAAGGAGGCTGAATATTATCCAAACAGAACATATTAAACAGTTAAAACAGTTAAATTTCATTTGAAAAGGAGGCTGAATTTCAGTTTGAAAAGGAGGCTGTAGAGCTATCAAATCATTAGAATCCAATTTACATCATTCACAGCCTAAATGTTGAGAGCAAAATCAACTTGAAAAATGAGCTTAATTGGTTAGTGCTACCGAAATCCTTCTATCTCTTTCTCCCCCATGGCTATTTCATTTTCAAATGAATATTCTTAATCATAGAAACCAAAAAGTGAGGAGATGTATCTCTTTCTCCCCCATGGCTATTTCGGTTTTAAATTTAAAATTTAGTGAGGAGCTGTATTTATGAAATTTCGATTTTGTCCTTGATAAGTCGCTGACGGCATATCAACTTCATCCGATGGACGAGATTGCTAAGTTTGTAATATATAATTATTATATTGTGTTCGTAACTAAAAAGTAATGCTACAGAGAAAGTATAAAAATAGTTTATTTTATTGAATTCTATGTCAATAATTTGAATTACAATTACTTAATTTTTTTATTATGAAATGTAGTTTATTTTTTATCTTTGACTTTACTTTGTATTCTATTCGTTTCTTTAGTCGATAAGACTATTTGTATTCACCAAATCGGGAAGAAGTAAAAGGTGGTACTCGAGCTTTATGAATTTCTGTATTAGGAACTCATAAATTAGGATCGGTCGCTACAAAAGAATCAAAGTAGTAGCCTTAGGAGGCGAAGAAGCCTTGTTTTCTCAGGTAAAGTGAGCTTGGAATGAACCACTTTCCCATTGTTTTGGGCTTGTCTTGACAGCAATGGCGGCATTACTTTAAATGCAGCAGTGCAAAGAATAACAATAATAGAACAATAATAGAACTAGATTTTAAGCCCGCACAGGATTAACAAAGAATCACTTGTCAACACTACCATCAAACCAGGTTTGTGGGAAAAGGTTTGACATATGGAAACATTGGTGCAAAAAATAGAAATGGAGACCAGAAACTAATGCCTAATTAGCAGTAAAAATAAAAATATAGGGATGTACGCCAAAAAAATTCGAAACTTATTAGTTGATCATGACTTTACTGAGCAAGAGTCAAGTAGTTGCATAAGATCAAACTCAATGAAATTATTTTTCGTCATACTATTTGTTGAGCTAATCTTAAGAAATCAACTAAGTGCGTATGAAGCATAGTTCATAGTTGTTTGGCGAGCAGCTGAAGAATATGCACCAATGAAAGTTGTTCCAAAT